TAGCCTAGTTTAATCCGCCTCTGTTTACAAAACCAAACAAAATTTCTGCCTTTTCTCTATGTGGAGGGCATTTTACGGCTGTTAACTGCAAACAAGGTGCAATCGACTTTCTCACCAAAAACAGTAAACAGTATATACTTACATGACGTAATTTCAATTTAAATGATAGCCAGATACTTTACTATAAACAAATTCACTGTTTCTTTGAAAACGAAAGTAGAAAGAATGACACAGTACACTACAAGGTATTAAAGTAAATATATATCTTTTCTCTCGTCTTCTCTGTATCTTGTCTACTTTTGCCCACAAGGTCTTTCTTTTTTATCTGTTTTGCTTAGATTTTGTAGTGTCGAATCGGACAGAAAAGATAAGGAGGAATTTCCTCCTTATCTTTTCTTTGATCAGTCTTTAAGACTGATCAACGGTCACTATTTGCTGAATAAAGTTTTGCCTCTCCCAACCACTTGAAAGACAATTTGTACTCTTCTTTTTACTTTATCTGTTTACATCTTCTATTACCAAGAAATACAGATTCTGAAAATCTAGCTGGATCTTTTAATTTGTTCACCCGATAGCGATATGTTAAAATTTGAGATGCAATGAGTCGTTCGTAATAATTAGAAGAATATGAGAGAACATGCAGTAAAATTGTTGTGACACATATGTGCTTACTAAAGTCATAGCAGAGGCACCATCTATTGGAAGTGACTGATTTAAGTCTAACAGTCTTATTCTGAACAGAAAACTACTTTTGAACACATATACGTATGTGTAATGCAAAGACTAGACGATCAGATCAGGTTTGATCTGCTCTGTATAGAGCTCAGCTACAAATATTCAGCTTTATTTGACGCTATATTTTGTGTTGGATTCTACGGTATTCATAGAGCAAGTGATGCTATACAGAAGTGGAAGAAGTATGAAAATTCATCTAACTTCGAAAATTAAAATGAGATTTGTGATTTTGGCACACAAAAGTTATGATTTTTTTTCTAAAAACGTGCCTCATCTCTTATCTGGCGTACTGTGCAAAAAAGCGCATTATGAACTCTTTCATAAGTGGGTTTGTATATAAACTTTTAATACTTTTACACCACAGTGGGCAATTTTGGCTAGAGCAGGCGGACATGTGTTATTAATTCAATAATAACTTTTGATACAAAAGAGCTAGAGACTCTCTAGCTCACAGTAGTACGATGTGGGGGTTTGTAAGTTGGAACCGCAACGGCAAGAAAGTCGCGCATGCCTTGCTTGTTGAAATCTTTGAATGGGCGTCCATCACGAATGATACAATTGATTATAGCCATGTGTAACTGACGTCGTCGCTCAGATGAAATGCTGTGGTCACCATCGTCCATCGTTTTTCTTCCCTTGACTTAGGATGGAAAGAAGAATTCGGTCATTTGATGAATGCTACCGAGATGGTAGCGCAAATTGGCATCACTCTTAAACCCGGATTTGCAAACCTACGAACAAATTACTTCTTCTTTTCTCGGTACACATCATTTGAACTCTATAAAAGAGGAAAACTTACTTCATTGCATAATTTGCAACGGAATCCATTGATTTCTTCGACAAAATGAGCCAAAACATGAGTACGTTTATAGCGTAATTGTTGTTCGTCATCAAAGATTTGTGTTGAATGTACCTCGTCATCAGAAAAATCAACAAAAGCAGTCGCGTTTGGTGCAGCGATCTCATCATTGTGGCGCATCTGTACGTCACGGTGGACAGTATTTGGGTTTCGCCTTCGGCTAGAAACAGATCTTTCACTGCGTTTCGGTCCCTGAACTTTGCGGAGTGCAGAAGATGAACGGTAACTGTTAACACCACCTGATACTGTATGATGCAAAACATGATCGGACGATCTAAACGCTGCGCTTCTCGTTCGACTTCTGAGAACACGTTCCGATGTGGTCATTGACACAAAGGGTGCTGACGATTGATTATCATCCATATTTTTGTTTCTCTTTGAAGACACTCCTAACAGTTCACACCGTCACTAACCATTTGGCTATTTGTTTATTTTCCACATTTTTCTTTTCATCCTCCATGTTTTACGGTCAGTCTGAGATTTGTCTATCGTCTATCCTTAAATGAATCAATGAAATAAAATTGTCGCTGTCACACCCTACAGATACGCTTTTGTTGGTCTTTCTCTATCGTTTAAAGTCGTCCTCTTTCGTCATTCGTTTTCTTCGTTTTGAGTCGAAAATATACAACACACATCGTCATCGACATGTCAGTGTAGAGAACGAGGAACGAAATAGAAAAGAATATTTAGTGTACAGTGTAATGACTTTTTAAGAAATTGTCATTCTTTCTTTATTCACATTACGTACACTGGGCAAAGCTATCATTTTTATACAAACATACATACCTACTGTTTATACACACTGGGTGGTATATATCATGCAAAAAATCAGAGAAAAATTTGGTGAAACTGCGATGAACTATTGTGCTGTAAGAGAAACATTGAACTAAACCTAAACTAAAAAAATATCAGACCAAAAACAAAGTCCATATGTGTCGTGAAACTTGATAATGTTAATATTTTTGAACTAAAAACGACAATCTTGCCGTTAAACATGACGATCGATAGATTTCGAGTGTTTATTTTCGTACAAAAAGAGTAAAAGAGTTGGAATTTTTCGAAAACTTTTTTAAAAACCAACGGAGCAACCCAGGACCGGGAAAAAAATATCAGATCAAAAACAAAGTCCTTATGTGTCGTGGAACTTGTGGACACAGATGAATTTACGAAATTAATACGTCTGTATTCTTTGCTTTTTACTCGTTCTGATCGTAGTCTCTAACTTATTCATACAAGGCGATCATTTACTACAATCATTCATAAGAATTTTGAAGCTTGGACTGACACCGGATGTATGGTTTGATCACATAAAACTTTCTAATTCGCTGTTTTCGTTCTCGTTGATTGGTCAATATTAACAAACTCCTAAATGTTTGCACCGTATACATATTATAGACAGCAACACAAAAATGTCAGGAGAGAACATGTAGTGAACCCTTGTCACTGTACTTTCTGAATTCATTCTACGTAATCGCATTTAATTAATATCTGTGATAAAAGTAATTTGCTCGAAATCAGAAAATAGCAACGTAATGTCAGAAAAAACAATCATTTATATCTCGCACCAATTGCTGAGCACATCTTAAAGTCAGCCTCGAATGTAACTGACGAGGGAACCTATCCAACTGTCGGACGCCGTTTGACTCCATATTTTGGCTATAAGTAGGACTCAGTGAGACTAAGAAAATTCTAAAAGGGTTCGGGCCCATGACTCTTGAAGACCCCGTTTTCTGGAAAACCAGTTTTTCAAGAACTCTAAAAGATAACTAAACCCTT